CGAAACCCTCTGTATTCGCCATATACTAGTAGTTTGGTCGCATCTCCCTTCCCCCATCCTCGGTTGGACTCGGATGAATGTAATCGACCGCATCTGGGTTCCTATCGCCTCGTGACTGATCTTCCTGATGCCCTCACTGAATGCGCTCCATCGATGCTCTTGGCGAAGCCTCCTATATTAGCCATATACTAGTAATCTGGTCGCATCTCCTTTGCCCTATCCTCGGATGGACTCTGATGAATGTAACAGACCGCATCTGGGTTCCTGTCGCCTCGAGACTGGTTGTCATCGTGCCCTTACTGAATGCGCTCCATCGGCGGTCTTGACAAAGTCTTCTATATTCGCCATATACTAGTAGTTTGGTCGCATCTCCCTTCCCCCCATGTTCCACCCATGTTCGGATGGACTCGGTTGAATGAAACCGACCGCATCTGGGTTCTTGTCGCCTCGAGAATGGTTGTCATCATGCCCTTACAGAATGCGCTCCATCGGTGGTCTTGACAAAGCCTTCTATATTCGCCATATACTAGTAGTCTGGTCGCATCTCCCCACATGTTCGGATGGACTCGGTTGAATGAAACTGACCGCATCTGGGTTCCTATCGGCTTGAGACTGGTTTTCAATTTCGCCACTTATTTTTCTTATTCAAGGCGATACAGGCCAGTCCTGACCAACCCGCCTACGTACCATTTTATGAAATCCGTTACACATTGCCATATACAGTTGACATTTATTTCGGCCATGTTGATGTTGGACTATATTCCATTTTGTACCACCACATGCAGGCCAGTCCTCCCTGTTTTTTTCTGATGCTATTTTTCCGAGGGTTTTTTTTCTCCTGTTAAATTACTACAATCATTTTTAAAATTTGCTTTGGAGTTTTTTTTTCACCCCTCGTTTTTTTCATTTTCATTTTGCTTAACGGACTTCTAATCTCAAAAACTATGCATTGCACATTGTGCAGATTTTGCCTACATCGTCTAAAATTTGCATGTAAATTTATTTTTACTTGCTTTGATGGGACCCCGACGGGTCTTTCATAAAATAATTGAATTGAATTGAATTGTCGCTGCCTAGGACGTAGCGGATATCGGCAGTAAACTGCAAAATATAGTCCAGGTGCCGAACTTCCCTGGGCGAGTACCGATCTGGCTTGGCCTTCAGAGCGTAAGTGAGAGGCTTGTGGTCGGTGTGGACCGAAAAGTCTCTGCCCTCTAAAAGGTGTCGAAAGTGACGTATGGCCAAGTAGATGGCAAGGAGCTCGCGAGAGAAAGTACTGTAGTGAGTCTGCGCCGGTTGTAGCTTCTGTGAAAAGAAAGCTAAAGGCTGCAACTGGTTATTCACCTGTTGATGCAAGACTGCGCCGACAGCACTGCTGGAAGCGTCGGTGGTCAAAATGAGCTGTGCATGAGCGTCATATCTGAGGTGGTGCAGCATGGTGGCATCGGCTAGAGCCTTCTTTGCTTCCCCAAAAGCTGTATGGGCTGCCGGTGAAAGTTCAATAGGTTTTGCTTTCGACTTTAAAAGGTCAGTCAAGGGAGCCAGGATTGCCGCACAATGGGGAATAAAACGTCCGTAATAGTTGATAAAGCCTATGAAACGTCGCAGCTGAGTGAGTGTGTTGGGAACAGGGAAAGACAAGATGCATTGCACCTTCTCTGTAAGTGGAGTGATTCCGTGCTGATCGACGTGATGGCCGAGGAAATCGAGAGAATTAACGCCAAAAACGCATTTGTCGACGTTTAATTGCAAGCCGTGTTGCTGGAAACGATCGAATATGCGGCGTAAATGCGAGGCATGTTCCTCTGCCGAAGAGCTTGCGACGAGTATGTCGTCGATGTAGGCGTAAGCGAATGGAAGGCCCCGCAAGATCTCATCGATGAAGCGCTGAAACGACTGGGCAGCATTGCGCAAACCAAAAGGCATGCGAATAAATTCGAACAGCCCAAAGGGTGTCGTGATAGCGGTCTTTGGGATATCTTCCTCAGCGACCGGGATTTGGTCGTACGCCCTGACGAGGTCTATCTTGGAAAAAAATAGTTTTACCGGCTAAAATGTGGGGAAAGTCATGAATGGGGGGAATGGGGTACCGGTCAGGGATTGTGGACCTGCTTAGAGCTCGATAATCACCGCACGGTCTCCAATCGTCAGGGGACTTCTTTGGCACCATGTGCAGTGGTGAGGCCCATGGGCTTGATGAAGGGCGTATAATGCCCAGATTCATCATATGTTCGAATTCGTTCTTTGCTATTCGGAGCTTGTCAGGGTGGAGTCTACGCGGACGAGCGTGCACTGGTTGCCCTGCCGTGACAATGTGGTGTTTCACTCCGTGTTGAACGGTTTCGGTAAAATGACATGGTTTTGTGATGGACGGGTAGACCTTCAAAATGTCAGCGAAAGGGGTACTGAAGATAGTGAGGTGAATGCCAACCGAACGTTCGGAGCTAATGGTCCCTATAGTAAAGAGTTGGTGGTGGTGTCTGTGAGGCGACGGTGTCTGACATCGACTGTTAAGCCTTAAGATGACAAAAAGTCGGCCCCGATAATGGGCGATTTGACGTCGGCCTCAATAAAGACCCATTGAAAACGTCGCCAGAGAACAAGATCTAAAGTGAGGGACCGTTGGCCGTAGGTGCTGATTGTGGTGCTATTTGCAGCTTGCAATGAGAATTGCGATGGCTTGAGGCGGTGACGCCTTAGAGGCGGGATGACGCTGACCTCGGCACCGGTATCGGCCAGGAAACGAAGGCCGCTCGACTTGTCGTTGATATAGAAAAGGCGACTGGGTCGCGACGGGCCAGCAGCAGTCGTCGCCAATACTGGCTGGCGTGGTCGTTTAACTGTGGAGGACAAGCGAACGAACAAGGAGGTATGCACTTTCGGGCTTTCGGGCCATAAGTGCGATGATACCAACATAAGGGTTGTGAACGCCGCTCACGGGATTTAGATTGACGATGTGCGTATGGCTGTTTTCTAGTCGCTTAAAGACTGTTAAGAGCAGAGCACATGTTGCTCACCTAAGTGCAAAGGAGGCGCACAGTGTCTCTCAGGTCGTCGTAATCGGTGCGATAAGCGGCGGTGGGTGTTCTGGGAGGACCGGCTGATGTGGGCGCTCGTCGGTATGTGCAACAGCATGACGCTTTTTCCGTATAGGGAGTGTCGTGCTCTGATAATGGTGGGCCTTCTGAATCAAAGTCAATGCCCTGCTGGGGCTTGCCTTTGGAAGGCGGTGGCTGTTGAATAGTGGAACACGAGGCACCAATGGGGTAACACTCTTTGATTCTGTCGGCGTGGGTAGCTAGTTTCTCTTAAGGTGTATTCGAGTCCAACATAGCCAAAACCTGTTGCATAGGCACCGGTAACTTTTCTAACCAAATCTCGCGAAAAATGGCGTCGTCCATCTGCCTACCAGCGAGAAGTGAGCGCATGTGACGCATGAGCTGGGAAGGTGTCTGATCACCTAGCTCTACTTGCGTGAAAAGTTCCCGCAGCATAAGGTTGGCCGATTTAGCTACCCGTTGGATTACCGCTTCCTTCAGCAGCGTATACGGTTTGTCGGCTGCAATGGGGTCAAGGAGGTCTTCGACGGTGACAGCTACATCAAATGGGAGTGACTGCAAAACGTACGAATAGCGGGTACGCTCGCTATTAATGCGGCTTGTCACAAAAAGAGCCTCGATCTGCGTGAACAAAACGCGAAGGTTGCTCGGGGTAAACCGTGGCAGTTTAAAAGAAAGGGTGTTAATGTCGAGTGAGTCTTTTTGGGAGTCGTCACTGGCCATAGTAAATAAAAAATGGTTCGGAATGCAGGACAAAGCGGGGTCACCAGTTTTGTAGAGGAAATGTGGACTTAGAAACTTCAAACAGTAATATATGCAGGAAAAACTTCCGAATGGGGAAATTGTGTTTACCAACAAAAAAGAATGTACAGATTGAAAGAACCAGAAAAGGAATGTTCCAGACTCACGTAAGGTAGAATCCTATCAAGTAGAGGGAAAGTATCCCGATGAGGAACTGGTTGAAGGGAGGCTCTAGGTTCAGCGATGATACGTTGAAGTCGGCTTTGAGGAGGAAGTCTCCGTCAACACGTACGGATTGCTAAGAGTATTGAGAGGTGACAAGAGCACGCCAAGAAATAACGATGTCAAAGACACTCGAAACCAGAACACATGTTGACTGCCGTAGCGTTGTTAATGTGTATTTTCGTTTAGTCAAACAAATGTACAGGCAAGTCAGGTGTACAAGAAAATGTAGTGAAACAAATAAAAATTGTACGAAAGCCTACATGTGCCCCCTTACAGCGAGACCTGTGAAGTTAAACATAATTTCGTGTACTCACATTTTCCGATGAAACCCTTTTAAAAAAGAAAAAGTCGAAGTCGGCTAGCGTAAGTTTTCAGCCGCTGATCGTCGGGTCCGTACGGTAATGTACGCTACGCTGTAGCACTGTCATTCGCTCTCTGCATCCGAGGGTCTGTGAGCGTGCTATCAGACTTACTGACCTACAGTAATTATGAAAATAACCAAACTAACTAAGCTGCATCGCTAGTATTTAAACAGGCCATTCATTATTTGTTACACTTTTTGCTGGTGAATGAATATTAATAGCCTTGGAAAATCCGAACGAGCCAGTAAAATTTGAATATCGTCCACGTTTTACAAGTAGACGTTGTCAAATCTATCCGCACTGTCGCATATATAGCCCCGCTGGTCACAGCTTGTCGTTGACCGGCTGGATGGACAAAAAAAGGAAAAAGAGTAAGGGTGCCGATGTTTACGAGGATCCCTTAAAACCGACCGCGTTTGAGCTTGAAGTTGCGAATTACTTACATAACAATTTACCAACAGTGGATGGCAAGCTTTCTGGATGTCGCGTAAACATATTCTACGCGGCGGATGCGGTGGAGCTCCTCATCAAATCACAGTGGTCAAAGATCAACCTGAAAAATAAACCTAATGAGAATGCACAATTTTCTTCCGAGGAGTCCATAATTCGATTTATGACAAAGTTGTTGGAGAAAAACATGATAAGCAGGCACGTTTTCAGTTAGGATTTTGATGTGCACGTTTAGGGCCATCAAAGCCAAGAGAAAAGTCCCTAATAAACGTAAAGAAGCGGAAAAACGGAAGGTGAAAACAACAAAAGCCACCGATTCTAAAACTTCAAAAAATGACAAGTCCCAGGTTTGTTACACTTGCATTATTTTCTCTGACAATTATATCTCCTTGAAATTGGCTGGTCTAATTATCTGTAGTAAGTCTCGTTTGTTTGTTACCTAAGTTAGCATTCAGGGTGGAGAACGTCATCCTACTCACACAGTTCGCAGATAGGGACTATGTTCCTTATAGGCCTACCCTACTTGTCCGTGGCGTGCAATTGCTGAGAAAATCTTAGGCTACCAACATTTTTTCCCAAAATATGTATGCTGGAGTGTCCTTTAACGCCTTTAGCATTCGAGACACTGTTTGTGAATGAATGAATGTATAAGCAACTTTCTAACTTCGAGCACTGGCGAAATCCTACCCGTCGACCAACCGTAAGACCATTCCGCAGACCATAAGGTTCATGGCGTTTTCGTCCAAATACTCTCGTCAAGTGTTAAAAAGTAGGCGAATTCTGGATTTCGTCCTAACGACGACGGTTTGCATGGTAAGATGGATCCCATTTGCGGTTTTTTCTACGGACCAGTCAAGCCTTTTTCGTCTACGTCGAGTTGACATCCTTTAAAGGTCGTGTGCAAAGTCTCTTAACCATCGCTTATTTTGCGTGCTGGCCGGAAACATTATTTGTCTTTTAGGGCCTAAGAAAGGTTGCTCAGATGCATTTTCACAACGGCAGAATGAAAATACAAGTGCCGTCGCATGTTTCCCTGAGAATTAATACTAGCGACCAGGGAAAAAATTGTTCTCCATTCACCTGACAACTTTTTTGTCTCTTTTTGTTTACTCTGTCTGCCGATAAGCAATACACCAATTCCCCTGTCATACGATCAAATGGAATGAAATTTCTGATTTGAGAAGCTGATAGACATCTCTGTGCTGTCATGAAGTTGTCCACGTGCATTTATACCCTTTTAACTTCTGTCACCCCTTGGCTCTAACCGCAGGTCACGTCAGCTTTGTCTTCCTCGGTGTATTTTTTGCATTTTTAAGACAGCTTTCAGATGACAGCTAGTCTCCTCCTCGTTGCTAAATGACCAATTTTCCCCTCGTCGAGAACCAGAGTCACATTAGGATTGCATCTGCCTTTTGACGTACAGCAGATGCAGTAACTCATGAAATGTTATGAGGGTCCGCCCACGCCGCGTTCAACAAATTTTTACAGTAGTAAACAAACGACCGTTCTTAAAAAGAAGACGTATTTGGGTTTATAAATTAGAGTTGATAAGCATGAGAATAATACATTTTAATTGAAAACCAAAATTACGGAAAATGGCTGCATTACAAGTAACTCAAGTAAGGCTAACTATAAGGGTGCATAGGGAAGGGAGGATTCGCATGAAAAGCGAAAAATAATAACAAATGCAGTAAATAATTTTTTCTTGACAGCCCATTTTCATTTACCACAGCAGAAAGTCCATCACACATTGAAATAGCCAGGTTGTCTATGATGATTGTTCAGTGTGATTATCTAGCACAAATGCAGGCTTTTCTTTGCCTTGCGCCGCTTTCTTTTGATAAGGGTGTATTTTTGATAGGATTAAGATCCGGGCCGTAGGCAGGCATAAAATTGAACGGATGCCACATGCGGAAAGACAGGATGTTGTCTAAAAAAGTTAGATTACAGTTGCATGGGTTGCCGAATTCATACCTTTTTAGAACGATAGACGGGAGCATTACGTATGAAATTATAGTATCCATTCGGTGTCGGTTGATATCGTTTTAGCTGAAGACCTCCCTTGCAATACCGACAAGCACCTTGATGTTGATGATGTCCGTAGTCGACTGACAAGCTGACCGCTCTCTGAGTTTGATGGCCATCCACATCATCAGCTGTCGACATTTCCTGGAGTTTGCCGTCGGCGCAGTGGGTTTACTGGAAAGCTCATATTTAAAACTAAGACCTTATCTCAGAAGTAAGTGGTCTCCCGGAATGAGTGCCTCTGACCAATGTATTTCTTAGCAAATGGCAAACGTTCTCTAATAAGTTTCCTACGTATCTGCATCCCTTTCCTGATTATGTTCATAGCGAACATAAACAGATGTTCCTCGTCAGTGGTCTGAATGGGCATGTAGTGATGCCTTTTCGGTGTATGATGAATAAAATCGCCGTCTTGCTTTTTATGAGCCGTTTTGGTTTGCTCCGCCTATTTCTGGCAACACTTCTGCGGCAAATATCCGTATACGTTCACAGTCGACTACAGATAAAAACTGTCTGAACTTATTTATGGCACGAGAAAAGTGACAGCATGTCGTAAGTGCTCAATATCTGTTTTCTTACGTCTAGTGATTATCGGTGTGGTAAAACGAACGGCGATCAAAGGAGTTTATCACCAAGTTTTGTGTCACAAAACGTCACAGATTTGCAAAGCAAAATTTTTAAAACCGGATTAGCCCCTCTTTTCTGAAAAAAGTGCAATTTCTTATATCTGCCTTCATCTGATTCTCATGGGCACGAAGTCCAATTGTCCGCTTCTAGAGGGGATTTATTTGGACTTGAGGTTTTGGCCTGTGGATTTCACTATCGAAGGAAATTGCCTGGATATCGAAAAAAGGTCGGATTTCGCCCAAATCGGGCATAAATAACAACAAATGTATGACATAATACCCATTCGAATTTCTATCACGACATTTTATGAGTTAGGCTATCTACTCTAGGCGTCTGCTAGCTGCGATTTGACGGCTTACTTCCACAACCTTTTGTGGAAGTTAGCTGTTGCACAAGCGAGCTCCTGTGTAGGACGTATAAGCAGTCGCTGACGAAAAGAGGCTGTGTCACGAGGGCACGAGCCGAATCTTTTTTGTATCCGAAAGCTGTGTCTAATCTTCGAAATGAATTGGCCTGGCCATCAGAGGTATTCAGACTGCGTCGACTACGTTATTATGATACGGCATCCTGGTGGCAGAAGCAATTTACTCAGCCACTGAAACTAACTGGGTCGATGATAACCTCGTTTGAGGGTGGTGTGACGTCAGGGTATAAGTATGGCTCTCGTCTACTATCCCTTTTTGCATATCAGTTACTAAATAGCAAAGCTTGCGGGCAAACTAGTTGGTAGAGATCACCTGCCTAAATTAACCTCCCAGCATGGTTCGACAGTATTTGCTAATCGACCACACAGCATTCTGACTTGACCTACACACAGACTGGAGTGGTACCTATTCTTCCAAATGTATTTACTAGAAGTTCTCTTGACTTCGCATTGAAAGTCGCCGCTATCATCCCTATCAATTGGTTCTGCGTACCCCGCATTGCGCCATCAAAACAGAATTATTGTGGAATCAACACTTCTTCCTTGAGCGAACCTGTAAACACTGCTGCTCTTATCCTTTGTTGTTTTTGTTGATTTTCCCACCAATATGTGCTCTGTCGCACTCCCTGTGATCGGCCGTGGTTTGCCAACCATGGCATAGCAGATGCTTAAGTACTGTGAGACATACCCATAATCTGCTGTTTGCCCCGCTCGTGTGCCAACTGGATGGAATTTGCCCGCGATTCGCCTTTCCAAAGACTGGAATGGGCGGTGCTCATTTACGATGCGATTAACTGGCAGCACAGGACCTGCTGCATCAGGTGCGATGCTGGTCTTTGCTCGTACAAGTGCAGTATTCTCTGTTTATATTTCAATACATGTCCTGGTAAGGGTACCTTAGATTCCCTTGTTGCACAGCCATCGACAAGGACGTCAACTCCGCATATTCTTCAATTGCTAGACTCTATCTAAAGGATTCAAATACCATTGTGTTTTCCCGTCCCCAAATTTTTCATCCACAGAATGACGGTGGTGAACACGACTCTGAAACGGACAAAGTTGAGTCAAAATCCCCCCCGGGCGAATCCTCCACTGAGAAGTCGGAGGCTAAATCGAAAAAGTCCTCCGGTGATTCTTTCGGCTTCCCCTTCTTCTCAACCCCTGCTCAAAAACCCATCCGTCTGGAGTATACGGAAGCTCAAGTGTTCACCCTTGATGACCCCGAGACTGTCTACGTGTGGATTCACGAACCACCACCTAGCCTCAAGACATGGCTCCTCGGTGCAGCTCTCATTCTCGGCATCATTTTGTGTTGCTTCTTCCCCATCTGGCCCTGGCAGCTGCGTCAGGGTGCCTACTACTTGACTGTGCTGGTTCTCCTCCTTCTCGGTCTCCTCTTCGTCACAGCTCTCATCCGTCTCTTTCTCTACGTCTCCGTTTTCCTTCTTAGTCTCGGCCGGCGACAGTTCTGGCTTTTTCCCAACTTCTTTGCGGATTGCGGCTTCTTTGAGTCCTTCCGGCCGTTTTATAGCTTTGAGAAGACTGCCGCTGTTACGGCTGCTAGCAGTCCGGTTAAGTCGACTAAAAAGGAGGGCAAAAGGTCCTCAAAGAAGGTTGCCCCCTCAGTGGAATCACCCCCTCCGGCTTCTGTGGAACTAAAACCCGCCGAGGGGGATTCAGAAAAGGCCTCTCATGGGAAGCAGGACTGATGACAAAACTATCAAGGCTTGTTTTGCGAGCGAGCCGGTTTCGCTGTCATGCTTCCATGCAACTTGCCTATCATCTTCCGACCCCCACCCGCCTCTCCTATCCTGCTCTGCATGTTCCTCTTTTCAGTTTACTTTTTTTCCCTCGGCAAAGGTAGTAGGTTGGTATTTTGTAGATACGTCCCTCTATTAATATAAAAATGTGAATAATTTAATGATCAAGTGGTGTCTTAAATCAATTTGACCTGATAAACTACTTAGAACTGCCACCTCTGTCATGCGCCTTCTGATCGGCGTTTAGTGGGTTGTTTGCAGTCGCTATTTTTTTTAAAAACAGACTAGAGGCCAGTAAAATTGACCTAAGCATACAGTTTCGATATATTTCCGCTTTCTTTGGTCGTCCCTAAATGCAGGTAAGGAGTGGGGGGATTTATTCTTGCAAAGTGCAGCAACCACAGGTCAGGCCTACGTATGCTAACGAAGCAGGACAGCGCAGTTAGACACAAACCATCGTCGGGAACGGCCAGATTGAATAGGATTCAAGTGTAGTTAGGAGACGCCGAGGAAATGAGTCGTTGCTGCAGCATTGTTCTGTAGTGGCGATCAGTAGCGTGTAATTTGCTGTAGAGATGTGGCTCCGGCCACGCCAGCCACCCTTTTGTTGTTGGTTATAATCCTGGTCATTTTCTGTGTGGACTAGGGGGTGTGGAGTGGAGCGCTAAGGTACGGACCCGACCGTGCCATCCACCTGTGCCCTTCCCCGCTTCCCGGTATTCTTGACTATGTCTTGACACCCGGTCCAGGTGGGGGAGGAGAGAGTGCGGTAGACGCATCGCAAGTCTGCATTTACTATAAACTAGATTACACGCAAGTCACCGTGTCTGCTTCATCTTGCTGTGGAGCACACGGAGGACATCGTCGGTAACGATTGGCTGTAATAACTTTGTTGGGTTAGTACTGAGGATGCGGGACGCATCTGTGAACGAGAAGTTTGGAAAATCGATAATCGGACTGACTGGATACGCAAGGCAGCTATTTTAATTGGGTTCGCGTTAGCCCACCGCATCTACCTTTGGTTCCATGAGACTCCGCCGAGTGCGTCTGAACACCTCAGCAGTCACTTCAGTTTGCTGGAAGGACTGAACGAGGGCAACTTGCGTGCCTTTCCGACGCCAATTGTGAGGGGGGGGGGTTCCAGGGCGTCCACTGCGTCCCATCTCATCATCAAGCGTTCCGTCCTAATCAAGTCACTAGGTCGCCATGGACCATGAGCGGGTAAGGCTAACTCTAAACTCATCTCCCTCGCTGGCGTAGTGGCAGTCGTTCTCTGGGGATAAACTATCACGCATTTAGTTTCCAGCTGTGCACACTTGGAAATGCAGTGAGTGACCGATCTCATGAAATGTTGGCCGAAATTCTGAAATTCCTTTACGATTAGGAGGGATTACGTAGGTGGGGTTGTAATATTGATTAGCGTGCGGCATAATCCTATAGCATTTCGAACTCTCCAGGATGATGGCTTTTGGATGCACTCCTTCTTGACCTGCAGAAACCGTACTCGTTAAAAAAATTACTACTAAAGTTGCATGCATTTATCCTATGGATTTCCGGCGGTCTTATAAATTCAAATAGATTTTATAGAAAACGTGCACAGAATAAGCTTCTTCTCGCCATTTGGTAGAAAATGATATTGTCTTCGCATTTTATGCACGAAGAAAGTGTATATTTAGGTTTTAAAAGTCTCCCAATTCCCGAATATTTTTGAGCCTGATCTGCCATTGCATCAGTGTTCAGCGATTTCAGTCAACAAGGTGCATGCTTTCCGCGTAAGGAAAACCATATATTCCTCTATGCCTTTAAGAAGATACCACATAGAGTTCATAAAGTTTCGCAATTGGTCCGGACTGTGTTGTACATTTCATGAGGAGCAGTGGTAAACGGACATGCGCGGTCCTGTACGCATGGACATCGCATAGTCTTAAAAATCTCATAATTGTAAACTTTTTCAAAACCTAAATATACACTTTCTTTGTGCTTAAAATGCAAAGACTATCATTTTCTACCAAATGAGGAAAAGAAGCTTATTTTTGTGCACGTTTTCTGTAAGATATATTTGAATTTATAAGACCGCCGAAAATCCATAGGAAAAATGCATGCTACGTATGTAGTCATTTTTTTTATCAAGCACGGTTTCTGTAGGAGGTCAAGAAGGAGTGCATCCAAAAGCCAACATCATGGCGAGTCCGAAATGCTATAGGATTATGCCACACGCTAATCAATATTACACCCCTACCTAAGTAATCCTTCCTAATCGAAAACGAATTTCAGAATTTTGGCCAACATTTCATGAGATCGGTCACGCACTGTACGAGGCCTTCTCCCCCCTCCCTACCTGACAGTTCACCATCGACTCCGACGAGGTCCGCCGTGCGCTGCACAACAGGTTGAAAGCAGGGACGGTGGCTTGCGCGTGAATTAGTTAATAGTGATATTGGACTTGCGAAGCACCCACCTCACTCTCCCCCACCCAAGACAGGGGTGGGGGACGACTCGGATCCCAATTGGCGCGACGTGAACCTGCAACTGGGCCTGCCACCACACCCCAAATGTTGACATTTGTTATGGGGTGCGCATTTCTGATGTGGTCCCGAGTGTTGGTCCAGCGCATCTACCGCGTGACCTGTTTTAGGGACAACCATGCTATCCACCACAGTGTTGGGCCCCTCGTGGCGTTCCCCGACAGATGATATTTACCCTTTGGGGAGTGGCAATTTCCGTCGAGCGTTTGAGGTATACGATTGCATCTATCACCTGGAAAAGCAAGGCTCAAACTCACTAGAGCCCCTGTTTAACGATTCGAGAGATGGACTTTAAAGGAAATGCCAATATTCGTGAGAGCTCTTGAAGGCTGACGACACGTTTAATGACTGCCGTACTTTATTTGCACCGAATTCGCTGCTTTCGGCAATTGAGTTTTAGACAGAACTGTCGGGGTGTGAAGCGTGGCACTTTCGCCGCTACAACTTTCACATCTGTATTAAAGTTATTGTCCTCTAACTAGCAACCTTTAGTTTTCGTTATGCCTCAAGAACATTCAGCCCTCTCCTATGCAAGTGTCTAATTTGTCGCAGGGTTTGTTACATGATAGGAAAACGTACTGTCCACAATGTTCGGTGCCAAATTCCTGCAGGCTATACGTCCTTTGGGGGTCAATATCGGTCATACATTACGCCGGACTTGAGATGCTCACGTTAAGGCTGAATTATACTACTACTACTACTACTACTACTACTACTACTACTACTACTACTACTACTACTACTACTACTACTACTACTACTACTACTACTACTACTACTACTACTACTACTACTACTACTACTACTACTACTACTACTACTACTACTACTACTACTACTACTACACTCGCTGTCAGCTCCTCTACCTATGTCAATAGTTCGACTTCTACTGCTAATTACGGCAATGCTTTTATTGATATCGGAACTCCTTGAACCAGACCCTGTTGTACTGTATACACTGTCATAGCGAAATATGCTTGTTACGAGCAAGTGGTGCTCGTCTCATGTTTTTGCATCCGACCCCGTTTTGGTCTTCTTTAAAGACAACAGGCTCCGTCTTATAGCAAAATTCGGTTTATTCAAAGAATCGATTTATTTGCTTCTACACGGGAGTCTCCCATTCCTGCAGCTTCACTGCGGGGCTCCCAATAGACGTACATGGTTCCCTAGTTGGTAAATCGTGAAAACAGGCGTATGCCGACACACCTGGCGGACCGCTGCTTTCCCGTGCGCAACCATCCTCTTCTTACGCTCTGCGCACCAATGGGTGATAAGGCTTCTCCGGTTGCCAAGTTCCAAAGGCGTCCTGCGTCTCCTAAAGTGTATCAGATGTAGGGGTATTAGCCATGTGTTTAGTCTAAGCGGTCGATGAAGGAGGACGGCATAAGCCAGGGGGAGGGGCAAACTTCAACAATGCGCGCTGCCATGATTAATATGATTTCTGAAAATATGAGAGATTCAAACGGTAGGCAAACATCTCACCTTTCTACTCGTTTAGATTAGTTAACATACAGCCCGTGGTTTCTGATATATCGTTTATTTTGCGGGTATGATACCCTTGTAGATGAATCTTGGTGGTTGGTCTGTTGGTGTGCAAGATGACCTTGATGAAGTTTGGAGGAGTCAGAGTAACCGGCTTATTCTTTTTCTGACGCATCTGATTTGCGAGCCCAAAGTAAGCAGTTACTTCCCGTGGGGCTTATAGGGTAGCCGAACATCCGATAGCTTTTTTGCTATTGCTCCATCTCTTGTACAGTTAATTTCGGCAGCACTGATCCGGCAGCGGAGGGGCGCATTTTGGAAGGAGGGCCGGGGGTGCAGTTGGTGACATCTGAGGCCGTGTGAGGCGATCCCTCTTTTCCTTGCCGCATGCATTTGCAGCCGCCAGAGAATTGCGAACCGTCGTTAAGGCAGTGAAGTACAGTGCGTGACCGATCTCATGAAATGTTGGCCAAAATTCTGGAATGCGTTTCCGGTTAGGAAGGATTACTTAAGTGGCGTTGTTGTACTGATTATCATGCAGCATAACCCTATAACATTTCGGACTCGCCAGGATGTCGGCTTTTAAATGCACTTCTTTTTGACCTCCTGTAGAAACCACACTCGGTGAAAAACGACTACTTAAGTAGAATGCATTTTTCCTATTGATTTTCGATGGTCTTATAAATCCACATATATTTTATAGAGAACATGCAGAAAAATATGCTTTCTTTTGCTCCTTTGGTAGAAAATCACATTGTATTTATATTTCATACCCGAAGAAAGTGCACATTTTGGTTTTAAAAAAAGTTTCTAATTATGAGATTTTTAAGACCGTGCGATGTCCATGCATGCAAGACCGCACATGTCCATTTACTAATGCTCCTCATGAAATGTACAACACAGTCCGGATCCATTGCAAAATTTCATGAACTCTATGTGGTATCTTCTTAAAGACATAGAGGAATATATGATTTTCCTTACGCGGAATGCATGCACTTTGTAGACCGAAATTGCTAGACGCTGATGCAATGGCAGATCAGGCTGGAAATTATTCGGGAATTGGAAAACTCTTTTAAAACCAAAACGCGCACTTTCTTCGGGTATGAAATATAAATACAATGTGATTTTCTACCAAAGGAGCAAAAGAAAGCATATTTTTCTGCATGTTCTCTATAAAATATATGCGAATTTGTAAGACCATCGAAAATCAATAGGAAAAATGCATTCTACTTAAGTAGTCGTTTTTCACCGAGTGTGGTTTCTACAGGAGGTCAAAAAGAAGTGCATTTAAAAGCCGACATCCTGGCGAGTCCGAAATGTTATAGGGTTATGCTGCATGATAATCAGTACAACAACGCCACTTAAGTAATCCTTCCTAACCGGAAACGCATTCCAGAATTTTGGCCAACATTTCATGAGATCGGTCACGCACGGTAGGTGTGTTAGATCTTCCCTACCAAGTCGACTACGCAATAGCCGACAGCCCGTGGGCAGTCCGCAAACCATTTGGTTGATTTCACGTCAGGAGATCACCCCACTAGGGCTACCCGTTTGGCGTACTTGGCGCCCTGGCCAGGCGTCCTCGCATCGTTCAAAGGGGGTTCTGATCTTCCTGCTTGTTGCAGCTCGCGAACTCGCGTCAATATGGCCTGACGTCAGTTGATGCTCGCAAGGTGAAATCTCATTCATCTGGTCCCTGTCATTGTCGTTGAAATCATTCTCGTCCAGATGGGTTCTGTAGATCATGACTTTCTCGTATTGTTGACCTTTACTAAAAACCGCGGGTTGAACGTTTTTCGTGTCGTACCATATGGTCAGCACTCATCAGTTGGTATCTCGGGTCGGATGTCATTTCGTGGCCATACCTGCAGTTGACAAGCCCCAGCCTAACCCCAAACCCTCAACCCCTACCCATAACCACACCCCCCACCCGTAACCCTGACGTCAACCCCTAACCCTGGCCCCTAACCCCAACCCCTAACCCCTTACAGGTACGGCTACGAAGAAGGATCTTGCCGTACTAAATCTGTAGCAACCGACGGTACGAAACTTCTCCAAACGTACGCTTGCGGGGATGATAGGTGGCGTGGTGACCTGCTCTTCGGCAATTTGAGCAGGTGGTAGTGTCACTGTCAATTCGACTGCTGGGCAGAAGCCATGACTGGGGTCGGTTGGAGTTCGTGTGAGCATTGATCAGATGGAACAGGTCATTGAGTGGAAATGTGCTACACATGGTAGCAACGCCAGTGATGGTTGGGAAAATGTTCCACGGTTACCTTAGCCAGCGCCACCCATTGTACCTGAGGTTGGGGCATAAAGGCACCATAGAAACAACTTCTCCGATGTAGTCTGTTCGTCGTGCCTAGTTCCGCGATATGATGTGGCACAGGTTGAGCACAAGAAACGCTGTGAACTATAGTCACGAATCTAGTCTACTAGGTGCTCTAGATTGTTGGGTGCTTACGGAGTTGTCGGACCGAAGCAGTTTGGCCTCCTTTTCAGACCACTCGTATTAGGTGACCGCGCGTACTTGCCTTTAATCACATATGGTCTACAACGGTCATGCACTCAAGCTAGCACTTTCATCTCGATCTCCCTTAATGCAGTAACATAGGCTGGAATGCAACTCTGGAACACTTAAAGCACTCGTCATGGATTCGAAAATCTCTTTGTCCATGCAAGCATATAATGACAACTGTATCGGCCAGCATTTCGTAAAAGACGACAGCGGGTAAAAAACACAGGATACATCTAACTAACCTACTCTCAGATCGACTCGCAAACATTAAATACTCGTCACAACACATCAATTTCACCATAATCCTCCTCCTCC